AGAAAAACTATTAACAGTCTATATAATAGAAACACTTCATATAAAACTGTTCCTTTGCATTCTAAAGTATGTGAAGAATATCTTAAGCCAAAACTGTTTTTTTTTTGGATGTAGTGGGGAATGGTTAGACCTTCTGTTAGGCTTTTGTTGCTGTGCCACCACTGGGAAGATCCACCCTTTAAAATGTGTCCTGGTTACCATTGTCACCAAGACAAAAAGTACTGGAAAATCTCAAATATTATGGTTGTTGCCAGAACAGGAGATGAAGGGAAATCTTCCAATGGGGAAAATTGTTCTGGTGACAGCTGTCTAAGAAGGTATTTCCCCTAAATTGGGGAGATGCCCTCTCAATTGCAAAAAAAAGGTAATAAAAAATAAAAATCTGTCAGGGGTTTTAACTGTGTCACACTCTAGCCAATAAAACCAAAATGTGTGCCTTTAAATACACTTTTATGTGATTTAAAATGTATGTTTTCTCTTGTTAGATATCCGTATAATTCTAATGTTTCTGTTAATTTGTGCAGTTTTACAACAAACTATTAGGTTGAACCGCAAGCAATGAGCCAGCATGCCAGGAAATGAATATGAAGCAATATTAAGGATAAACAACCATTTAGAAACCATTTGCATGATATATTTCATATCACCTATCCAGGATTGCTTTACCTGTGAAAGTATAAAAACAATGCCAATAAGAGTTTGGCATGAAAGATCATTAAAACTATCATTATAGGATTAGTTGAGAGAAAGCAAATACTGCCAAATTATTAAATCAAATTGGCATACAGTGTGTGTAAAAATACATAATTCAGATAGATAATTTGGGATGTCATGTCTTAACACTGTATTAGAAAAACTTAACTTTCACAAAGGGATGATAGCAAAGAAAATCTTTCTACATACCTACAAAATCAGTGGTTTTGCATAATAATAAAGGAAAACTTACAAGCCTTTTGATGGCAGGGAGCTCAATTTTGTGTTCATGAGCTGCTTGGGTTCCTTTGTGATAGTGATCGATCGGCCTTTGGACTCTGGAATCATTGTTTCTGAACATCCTGTATCCAAAAGTATAGAGTTGCTGGATATGGCAGAGCAAATGTTTTTTTTCTGGTATAGAATAGTTGACATTATACTAAACGTTTTCCTCTTATTAACCTTTTTATGCGATTACAGACCTACAAAGGATTGCCCCAGTAAGACCTCATACCCCCTCCACCAGACGGTCATCATCCAGACGGTCATCATCATCACTAGTTCTATTAGGTACCAGCATGACTTCAATAGATGTTAATAATTTGGTTTGACTTTGCATAAAGAAAACAGTGGAAAAAATCACAATGATTTTATCTTATTTATATAAAAAACATTACACCAAATATTTACAAGCTAGATACCGCTAGTGAGAATTTTACTGATGTTTTTCAGTTGTTTACTTTTAAGGCATGCCAAATCCATTCGTATTCTTATTTCTTTCATTTTTCAGATTTCGGATCCGAAATTTGATTCGGTCCGAATCATTCGTTCTGAATGTCCGAATTATTTTAGTTTTGAACGAAATTCGGACGGATACAAATTTTTGTTAAATGAGCATTCAGATTCCTCCGCATTCGGCCTTGTAACAAATTTGGGAATTCAGATGCATGCGAATATCCATTTGGAACTAAATAAAATTTACATGTCTAATGCCAACTTTCAAGGTTGCCAGTGTGCTTATTTCAGCTCTCAACCAAACTTTAAAGCCCTCAAACGGTTGGTATCATAGCTGATCATAGTTGCAGCACCATGGCAACTGCAATCCAAATAGAGGCTAAGGTGGCGCCTTCCTTGGGTATGAAGGATACAAGGGTATAATTCTGTTTTAACTAGCATGTTAACTGGCACATCAGGTTAATTTCTCTACTTTGATTTCATAATACAGAGAATGGTTTTACGTTTCTTTAATTATTAAGAGATCCAATCCCATACCTCCATAATTTTGGTTCCCATAATCCCAAGAGGTGTGAATACGCCCATTAAGAACATCTGCATAAGAACATTGTAACCATTTGCTGTATTTGTAGACTTTTAGCTTAAAAACACACATTTCAAGTCAGCTATTACTAAGAACAGGTAAGCAAGCTACCAATCATCAGCTGCCGTTTTAATGGACGATCAGAAAGGTGAGGTTTCATTCTCCCTATCCAGGAGAGTTGACTACTTACTCAATAAATCCCTTATTATTATTTGTCATTCTTTATTAACAAATGCACTCAGAGAAAATGAGTGTACAGTTTGTCTGTCTGGCAGCTAAGAGATCTTTTGATGATTGGGTCATTAGTAACTGTCTTTCATCTATCAGGGCTGCCAGGGGCGGCACAGAGCCACTCGCACATCGTGTTGTTGAATATCAGTATTACATTTCTCTGTATATTTCTCTGTTGTGTCTGCCAGGTCAATGCCCTTTCAATGTTCCTTCTGTCATGCACAGTCTGATTTTTGTTCTGTTTTTTGTAATAGTGTTTAGTGTACTTATTATTCCCCTACACCATATCCAAACACCTAAAACACCTGGTCATTCTGAGCCTAATGAAGGGGACCCTGCGAGGCCCCGAAAGTACTTGCCATTGAATGACAACTTTTGGCATTAAATGGACATTTGCTGAACACAAACAGCTTGGTGTGCTTGTGACATCCTTTATATCTACATACTATTCACGGCTCCAACCGTGGTCACAGTAAGCAGCCGCCTGTATTTATTACAGAAATCCGGTAAGGAGTGCAGCAAGATTCATATACTTTCAAACACCTAGAACTGCATTACTAACAGAATAGGAAGACAGTTTGGCCATTTGTCTAGTGGTTGGTATTAAAGCATGTTGGGAAGCCTGTTTCTTTCAGCCTCTCTGTTCCAAGCCTTGGCGGGTCTTGAAGTTTGATTTTGCTAGGGTGATATTGCAGAAAGCCTTAACTCAAAAATCAAACATTTGCTTTTTTATAGGGAACATTTAGAAAATGTCGAAATTTCTCTAAAATGTTTACCTTTTGTCTTGCATGTCTTTGGAGAAGGCAAAGTTCATTGCCTTCTGCAATGCATGCCCTGTGCTTATGGACTCCTGTTCTATAGGCTAATTGCTGGATAGCTAAGATTTGGTAATGTCACTACTGTGCTGCTCACTGTTCTCCTAGCTGGAAAGAAAGTTGTTCCTGCATGCAGGCTCTCCCTGCTTTTGCTTTATTAATTATATTGATCTGTGCTTCTGACACCTCTCCTGCTGCTTTTGACTGTCCCTACCAGTTACCAGATCACAAGTCATCAGGAAGACACAGAGCGGAACAAGGCACAGTCTAGTAATGAGGAAAAAATCACCCACAGGCAATATTGGTGTCTAGTGTTGCCTCCTGCCTTTTTTGAGCATAGCGTCCATGGTATAAGTCCCTGTCATTTTTGCTGCCAGGCCTTGCCTCCCATTTTGCAACTCAAGTGGCTGGACCATTTTTTGCTATTTTTAGTTTTCATTTACAGCTTTGAAAGTTAGTAAAAAAAAACTCTCAAACCATATATTTTCTTTTTTTTACTTTTTGTATGTGATCATCAACTTGTTTGCCGCTGATCACAATCATTCAGGAAAAAGGGAAAGTCTGGGGCACCACTTGCATGTAAGTTCATGGTCAATGAAGCGGCCATGAGCTTGCAGTGTTAGAAAATGCAGAGGACATAAGGTTAACTGAGCTAGCCTACGGCAAGCAGTTCTGTTCCAATTTAACCCTTAGGTCCGTGGCAGTAAAAAGGTTAAGACTAGCCAGGGTGAGGTGCAAGACAGTTGGCCTAAGGGGGCAAGAAGAAAAAAATGTATGTCTTAGAAATTAATTAGAGAAACACTAAATTAGAAAATAAATAAAATAATAGAATTCAATGTACATTAAAACCTAATGTGGGCCAAGCACATGGCATAAATAATATTGATGATAATAATATAATAATATAATAATA